TGCCTTTATGCATTTGTGTCGTCACATGACAGCATGGAATAGTCTATTACAGCTATTACTGGGAAAGCAGTGTAAGAGTGTGAAAAGTGAACCTGTGAAACAGACTTTAGTCAGTGAACCAGTTCGTAGAGGAGCTGGACGTCCCGCGCTTAAAGAGGAGTCCTGGTAGAACACATTTCACCGTCCAAGCTCGCAAAGTAGACAACTTTTTCTACATTATAGCTCAGTCTGTTCTGTTCTGTCAGTGAATGGAAGACTTTTAAAGACTCTTCTGATCCTCCGTAACGCGGCCGTTTGCCGACTGTGAGCCGCACAGCGACTCTGACATCACAGTGGTCAGACAGCAGAACTCTATAAACGCCAAAAGCGCCCCGCTCTGGGCCGGCGCCGCTGACTGACTGCAACTGTGAACCGAGTGAGAGGTCTGGGTATAAACAACACAGACTCGCTTTGCTCTGCTTTAAGTTTAGCTTAGCTGTAGCCGCTTTTCTCGCACATCTGACAGAAATCTTCCCCAAAGTAAAACAGTTTCTGGTAAAATGTCTGTCAGCGTTCCTGCTGGAGTGATTATAAATGTAAACAAGTCCATTCGCCTCTAAATTATGGATGTTCTTCTTAAATCTCTGTCTTTGTCTGTCCGTTAGCTACTCACTTTATACAGCCTCCACTCAAAGTTGTGAACAGACTCTCTTTAAATGCTCTCTTTAAAAGTCAGAGGTCTGATATTGCGGGTTTGGACGGGACTAAGTGTTAAGTTTGGACGGGAAGTGTTGGGGCTACATGACCCTCCAAACAGAGGTTTTTCAGAGGCTCCAAACAGAGAGTTATGAGGAAAAAAGAAAAAACAGCACAGAAACCCACAAATATGAGAATTTCCTCTGTTAAAGTTATGAAAACCACTGTATTTTCTTAGTTTAATGTCGTTTCAGTGTATTATGGTCCTTTTCTTCATAACAAGCTAATAGTACGCTAACATCTCAGTAGCTAGCTAAGCTAACCTTGCCGTTCCAACAGTTACATTCTGGCACCTCAGGAGTCGGAACTGCTGCACCATTTAAGGTGGAACAGGAAAATTCAAACAAGAAGTGAATATCTGACTTCAGCTTCACATCACTGAAGAATCAGGGGTGGGTGATAATAAATAATTAAAGGGGCTGAACTTTACCCTCCTCTGCTGTCACTGCAGGCTGGCAGGGTCGCCTACAGAGCAGCGCTAGTAGCTGTTAATGAAGTGATGCTCTTTTTATTTGAGGGTCTCATTTCAGAGGGAAGATCTCAACCACTACCCTGTAACTCAGCTCCAAGGGGCAACACTCGAAAACAAGGGGTGAAAATAAGAAACGGGACTGGGCCTAAATGTAAATACTTTCTGGACCACAGGTCAAAGAACATTTGCTGGCCAGTCTCTCTATAAGACCCATACTATTTCCAAACTACTATTAATAATAAGAATAAAAATAATAACAATTTACAGACAGTGATGAAGCTTAACTGTAATACAAGAAATTATGAGTAATTTAAAATGACGCAGATGATATTCAGTTACATTGCCCTGTCACTCAAGCCTGCTTCTGAGCATATTTGTGAACATGCAGCCTAATAATCTGTTAATAATCTGAGTAATAGCTCAATCAGAATATAATACGTCCATGTAAACACCTCCATCTGAATAGGCTAGTCTGATTGAGGCCATTTGAAAAACAGTTTCTATCTGACTGATCGAGGTGGGTAATCCTGTAAATAATCCGTTAAATAGAAGAATAATATCCGTGTAAACGCCTGTATCTGATTACATTCCCTATCGGAAAGTTTAAGTCTGTTCTGATCATGTTCGTCGCATCATAGTGAGAGTTTATACCGTTCAACATGGCGGAGCAGAAACTGGTCTGCAGAGGAGACGAAGTTTATGCTCTGATCTTTAAAAGACGGCGGTGGGACGGACGTCCAGCTTATGTGTCTCAGAACACGACGTCTTCCTCTCGGCCTTCTTTAATAAGGACATGTGAAGGACGTTTTCCTGAGTCTGACATCATTTTAAAGCAGTTAAAAAACACAAGCACTGCTCACTGCTGCTCATCTCACTCTGACGGGACTCACGTGATGAATTCAGTGAGATTGGCCGATCTTTGCATGTAAACACAGACACTGTCAGTACATTAAGGGACTCTGCCTGTTAAGACTCGTATGCCTTAAAATAGTGTACAAAACTATTAAAACATAAAACATAAACCAAACGGTAATGTGTTGTTTATTATAAAACATGACAAATATGCAGAATTCCTCTATGATTAGGCCACCATTGTCACATTATAATGTCATGTGGTTGCAGTGGAGTCAGTCCTACGGAAAATAAGACAATCAAAAAGTTTTTCTCTTGACTAATGTTGCTCTGTAGCTAAAGCTGGAAAGCCTGAATGATTTATTAGAGTTAAATGAGATATTTAGCTCACTGTTCCTCACTCAGTGGACGAGATAGAGCCACCATTTGATGTGGTGACAAAAATGTCAGCCTATTAGTAAAAGGATTTGTCTGTTTTTAATGATAAATAAAGTATTTTGCTTGCTTTATACAATATATTTGTATGGTTTTGTATATGTACACCATACTGAGGCCTGTATGTCTGAACAGTCAGGGTTCCCTTTAAAAACACTCAGTAGTGCAGTGTGTAAAATGCTTTTTTAAAATTGTGGTGCTGCTTTATCTGTGCTGACTTATCAGATATCAGAAAAAATAAATATGGTGACACATTGTGTATCATGTCTATAGGTCTGTTCTATTCTCTCTTTCTCTCTTCTCTCTGTCCTCTCCTGGTCAGTACTGATGGTGTGTGTGTCTGTAGGTCAGTCATGCAGTCCTGCAGTTCTGCTCTCTGTATCCTGATCTTACTGATCTCTACATTCACTACTGGTAAGAACTGCACTGTCACTCCTTTATCATCTTATTAAAGATTTGACTTTAATCTTTGTTTTGTAACTAGATTTTCTGGGTAAACTGGACTGGGCTGCACTGGGTTTGTGTTTATACTTAAGTTTGTGTGTAAAGTCTTTACTGAGTCCTCAGTTAAACTAATTAGTTTCAAACTGTCCTTTTACTGAATCTGGTTGCGCCACAGATCAGTAAGACGTGTCTTAACCAGCACCAACTAACTGATACGCAAGTCGCTTTAACACGACAACATGATCAGAACCAATCAGTCAACCTGCTGCCATGGAAACACAGCAGCAGCTGTTCTGACTTTTTCAGTGGTAAAAATATCCAGTGTAGAAGAGAACGATGTGTACGAGTTAAACTGAATAAAGCTGATGATCTACAGCTGCTGTCTGATTATTCTTTAATATTTCACTGATAAACCAATATGCAGCTTTTTAAACGCTGGTTTCTGAATAACCGACCCAGCAGCAGATCAGTTTAGCCGTTTGGGCTGCTGAGTCTCACTGAGCTGGAGCTGTGGGTGTTCAGCTTCATGAGTTTAAACCAGGCTGATGATTAGAGCTGAGAGGAAGATCAGTGTATAGTGTTTACAGCTTTTAGCTTAGTTAGCCAAAAAAGTCCTGTTTTGGGTTTCTGGTTTCTGATGGTTTCCCCAACACTTACACCTGCTGAGGGGGTGTAAATGCTCAGTAGCTACTGAGCTCAGCGTTAAACTAGTTTGTGGTGCAGCTCGTTCTGATTTAGTAAAGCACAAACCTGAACTTAGTAAACACATTACAACCAGCCTACGTTTGAACTTACGCACAGCTGGTGCAGCCGCCACTGGTACTGGACCTTCAGGAGGAATTTTAATGTCCCTGAACACATTTATCAGTTTGGTCATTTCTCTTTCAGGGTCTGAATCAGCTGTTCCTTCAGTGAAGGTGAAGCTTCATGACTCTGCTACTCTGTCCTGCTCTGAGAGATGTTCTGGTTTGGTCAGATGGACTGAGTTCAGTGAATCCACTGATACTCTGGCTGAGTGTGATCAGACTTCATGTAGATCAGTGAAAGAGGGATATCAGATGATCCATGATCAGTACCTGAAGGGAGATTTTTCACTCATCATCACTGATGCTGATTTCAGTAAGAGAGGCTGGTACACGTTTCAGTGTGATGGTAAAGACGTCTGTGATGTGAAGCTGCTGATTCAGCGTAAGTGTCCATCTGTTTCCTTCACTGATTGTTACTGATAGAAACTCCAGTAGTTCAGGTTCTGTGTTTTATATCTGATTTGCATTTGCTAAAGTTCCTGATTGTTTTTCTCCTCAGCCTTGAACAGTACAGTTCAGATAAAACCTGGTGACTCTCTGGTGCTGAAGTTGGACATATCAGATCCAGTGGAGGTGATTTATAACAGCACAGGTGCAGCTGGACCATCCGGTCAGATCTCTACAGTGGATGGACGATCACTACAGTGTAAACCTGAATACACACAGAGAGCATCACTCACAGCTGGACTTGAGCTGAGAGCAGTGACTCCATCTGATAGTGGAGTTTATACTGTAATGGACAAGAAGAATAAAGAGGTCATTCACACCTACACAGTGATAATCGAAGGTATGATTTAGTGTGATTTTTACAGCTTGATCACTGTTTTACTGAGAGGGTTCTACTGGTGCTGGTATAAGAGAGGCAGCAGTAGTTATTAGTGAAGGAACTAAATTTAGGAAAGTAATGTTTGTTTTTGTCAGTAATTTACATTTCCAATCAGAAATCACTGTTCAGGAAAACGCTGATCAGTGTTTCCTCTACAGTTTTTTCAGGCTGGGTGGTTGAACCTTTGAAGCTGTCAGTGAAATGCATGTGCTTTACAGCTCATACTGGGCCTAAGAACAGTTCACATGTGTTTCTATAGATGTATAAAATTAGTGTTAATCGTTCTTTAAACGAGCACTAAACACTGTTTGGATGGTTAAGTCTATCAGAAAGCCCAATAGATCTGCTCTTGATTAGTAGGGCTTGGAGATTGCTTTAGGAAGCTGTTTGTTATGTCTGCAAACATCCAGAAGGGGGAGCTCTTGATGGTGTTAACAGTTGATCAAACAGTAACATGAAACACCGCGACTGAGTTTCTGATCTTTGATTATCGTCTGTTCAGGGGTGCAACATCATATTTCAACTGGAAATTGTTAGGTGGTTTCTATGGTAACATCTGTCGCGGTTGCTAGGGTTTTTCTAGGATGTTGCTGGTGGTTGCTACAGTATGCCAGGTGGTTGCTATGCTGTACCCAGTTGTTGCTGTGGTACCCAGGTGGTTGCTAGGGTGTTGTCAGGTGGTTGCTATGGTGTTCCAGGGTGTTGCTAGGTGGTTGCAGTGGTATCCCAGATGGTTGCTAGGGTATATCTAACTGGTTGCTCTGGTAACTGATGGCCACGTGTTGCTAGGTGGTTGCTGTGGTGTGCCAAGTGTTTGCTATGGTGTTGCTAAGCGGTTGCTATGATATCTTAGGTGGTTGCTATGATGTCCCAGGTTGTTTTGAGGATGTTACTAAACAGTTGTTATGGTAACCCACATGGATGCTAGGATGTTGCTAGTGTATTTGTATCATAGTGACATAAGAGGGGTGCACAAACTTTTTTCACATTGTTCCTCAATTCATTCAGATGGGAAAAATTAATAAATCAACAATAAATGTATGAAAACTGTTTGATCAAAAAGCACATCATTCCCCATCAGATCAGTCAATCTCAAAACTGCAGGATGGATTAGAAAATCTTGTAGAAAATGAAGCGAAAGAAAATGATGAATATACAGTCGGATATCAGTAGTTTTTGTTTACGGATAAATAAATCCTGTGATTAAAGCCGACTGTGACTAGACGATAGAGGACTAGAGCCGAATGCTACTTCTCTGGTATCATCCTCACTGTATCACACACTGATCTTATAGCAGTGATTGGATCTGAATTTGGTGCAGTTACATTTGAAAATTGACTGAGAACTTTTTCCTCAACAGAAATGAGAGCCTAACATAATGTCTGTATATATACCTCATGTCTGTTCATCATCCAAGCTGGATGGCTTGTGAGTTTGACCAGATCTTGTAGTATGTTAGATTCTCTATGTAGCTCAGCCTCTCCAGTGCTTCATATTCATTAAACCATTTAAAGCATATCAATCATTACAATGACATCACAGTGCAGGACTCAGTTTCATTTAGTGAAATATGACTTCAATAATACTCTCCCCATCATTATTATTAGTGTTTCAAAATGGGCATAATTCACAGTGTTGTTCATTATTGCTTCATAAAGGAGACGCTAATCTATCCAGAGGATGATTAATCAGATCCTAAATCAGTGGTTTCTGCTGAACTGTGTTTATCTCCAGTTTGAGGTTTTGTATTGTGATGATGTTTTTATCAGGTGATGATTCTGAAGCACAGAGACAGATTGATGAGCCTCGATTCCGCCTCAGTGCTGTATCTGGTGCACTTTACACTTCAGCCTATAGAGATCCTCCTGTACTGATTACACTGGGACTCAGAATGAGCTGCAGTAGAGCTGGATTATTACAGAGTGTGAACTGTGTTTGTATCAGGAATCTGACAGTGTGTATAAAGTGATCTGACATGTTCTGTGTTTTTGTTTTGTAGATGACCAGCCCTGCAGAGACCAGAGAGCCGCTGTGCCAGTGTGGCTGTCTGTCCTCTCCCTCACTGTGTGTGGGGTATTATTGTTGGTGATTGTGTGGATGTGGAGAAAAATTCAGCGTCTCCAGAGAAACAGATGATGAGCCTGTGAGCCCCAGTCTCTGTCTCTCTTTTGCTCGCTCCCTTTTTCTTCTTTGTTTTGTTTCTTTTTTTTTAGTTTTTTAAGCATCTATGGCTACATAGCTAATTCTGTCTGAACGATGTGAAAGGCAGGGTAGTAGCAGCTCTGTTTGGCCTCCCCTTTCTGTTCAATCCAAAACTGAATGCCTGGTATAAAGTCTCTGACGCTGTTGTTGCTCCTGTTCAGTTAAAAGACAGAACAGAATCACAGTTACAGCAGGATGATGCATATCAGGCTGATACATGTTGGCTGGCTACATAAACGACCAATCAACAGAAAAAGATGAGTTAGTTTAGTTTCAGTTCAGATCAGTTTAATCGAGTCTACTTAAGATGAGGATTTATTTAACTTTTATTTGAAATCCACAACTGATTGACGGGCAGGGTTGGGGTAGTTACTGAAAAATTAGTAGTTAGCTGCTTTCCCAAGATTAGTAGCTGCTACAATTTAGCTACTTTTCCAGAAAAAGTAGTGGCTACTTTTTGAAAAGTAGTGTTCCAGAAAGAAACATACAACTGAAAAGCTGTAAATATACAAAAAAAATCACTAAAAAGTGAGTTTAAGTGTAACCAGCAGTTAAACTTACACAACCAAAGGTGATCTCCAACACAAATTTAGACTAAATAACTAAATTAACTACTAGAGCTCTTAGGTACAAAAATGTGTAGTTCCTTATAAAAAGTAGCGCAATACTTAGCTCCTCCCCCATCCTTGTTGACGGGTTCATTTGCATTCAGTGTTGTAGACAAACACACCCCTCAAAGGGCCGAACAACTCGCGAAGCTGAAATCGAAGGAAGTGGGGGGGGATTCTGCATCCCATGACCTTATTACAAAAACTATTATTAATCTCCATCAGATTATTAATCTCTGTTAGATTATTAATCTCCATCAGATTATTAATCTCCACCAGATTATTGATCTCTGTTAGATTATTATCAGATTATTAATCTCTATCAGATTATTAATCTCCATTGCATTATTAATCTCCGTTATTTATTAGTTCATGATTGGTGAAAGTTGAGATGTTGTATGTTTTTACTTTGTAATGCAGACTGAACTGAACTGTCCAGAGGATGATTAATCGACTGAACTGCTGAATTATCTCACACTGTGATACAGTTGTGGTGTTTCTATCAGGTGATGATTCTGAAGGACAGTCAGATTGATAAATCCTCTCAATTCCACCGTCTGAAATGTCTTAAGCTACATATATAAACTCACCACCTCCCGGTGAAATTCACCTTTCACATGAATAGTTTAGATTTATAGGTCGTCTGCAGTTCAGCGCCAATCTTTACCGTATTTATTTATGTAGAACGGATGATTTCTGGCCCATTTCTGATCAGTTTGTTCCATTAATCAGTTACAGTTTTCTGCCCTTCCAGTCACTGAGCTCCACAATCCAGTCCAGGTCTTCTAATGTCTCCTTTTTGTAGTGGAAGTGAACCTAAACAGTCTCCCGACACGACTAACCGCTTCAGCTCGTCTTTCTTTGCTGTGTTCTGTGTTTGTTTGCTCTATTATTCTTATTCATATTCTGACTGTGAGAACATTGTTCTGTGTTATGACCCAGAGATTTAGCCCAGTCCCTCTTAACCTGGTTGCTTCTTGGCCCAGTCCCATTTCTCGTTTTTGAGTGTCACCCTAAGCCCTTGGAACCGAGTTAGAAGGGGTAGTGTTTGAAATCTTACCCTACGAAAAGAGACCCTCAAATATAAAAAAGCTTCATTATTCATTACCAGCGCTGCTCTGTAGGCGACCCTGCCAGTCTGCAGTGACAGCAGAGGAGGGTAAAGCTCAGCTCCTCACTGCTGGGCTTTAGTTACATTTGATCTTCAAAGAGGGGGGCAATTATTTATTATCACCCACCCCTAATTCTTCAGTGATATGAAGCTGAAGTCAGATATTCACCAGATTCTTTTTTCCATTCCACCTTAAATGGTGCAGCAGTTAGATTCTGGCGCTTCAGGCGTCAGAACTGCTGGACTATTTAAGGTGGAACGGGAAAGTTAGCTAGCTATTGAGACATTAGCATGCTATCAGCAATTTTCTAATGCTTGATATGAAAAAAATGACCATAATACACAAACGACATTAAGCTAAGATAATAAGATGGTTATCGTAATTTTTTAACAGGGAAAATTCTCACATTTGTGTGTTTCTTTGGTCTCTTGTTCTCCGTCTTTTTTTCTCATAACTCTCTGTTTGGAATCTCTGAAAAACCTCCGTTTGGAGGGTCATGTAGCCCCAACACTTCACCCCACCCCTAGACGTGAATGTGCAAAACAGAGGGCTAAGGGCTGAGTGGTAGGGGTGAGGGGTGAAATGGGACTGGGCCCTTGTATATTATTGTACATATGTGAATTAAAACTGGAAGGAGAAGCGGCTTAGAAGAAGAGTGTGTGTGTGTGTGTGTGTGTGTGTGTGTCAATTTAAAGTCATGAAAGTCATGTATGTAAAGGTCTTATGGAGAGGAATTTTGTACAGGCATATTTCAGTTGATCACTGTCTTTATTTTTATTTTTTGCACTCTGCCATTGTGTCAGTATCACAGCAGAAGCAAGTCTTGATATAAAAAAGCTGTGTGAAGCTTATTTACAGTGGAAAATGAAAATTTCAAATATTCACAGTATTACATTGAGTGTATTTCCTGCTTTTTAACATATGAGAGAGATCAGTTTAATCAAAACTAATCTGTAAACAAAACTAGAAAAAGCAGCTGTAGTTCACAGAGGCTTCCTGAAGACACAGTATACAGTATATTTATAGTTTCTTTCCAACACAAATATTGCAAAACACTCAGTTCAGAGTGGACGCCGATGTGCACATATCCAGAATGAAGGGATTTCACTGCAGAATGTTAAATTCAGCCAAATTATGAAGGAGTTCAGAGTGGATCATAAATCTTTAGTTAAAACTGTCCACTAGAGGACAGCAGAGAGTCAAACACACTGAAAAAACTGTACAGTTTCATTTTAATATAATTATTTAAATAAAATAATCAATATAATCATATTTCTGGGTTTGGGTTTCTTCAGTAGTCTAACTCAGTGCTGCTCAGGAATGTGGACGTTTTCATTTTTACAGTCTGCTCAGGATCATTCAGAGTGTTTATACTGTTACTTTGTGAATCTGGAAAGACGTGTTGGTCTCAGAAATCCTAATGCTGACCCTCAAGTGGATTATTAGTGAGCATATTTACACACTTTTCTATGCAAATCAGTCATATAAGGGAAAGCGCAGCCCAGTCTAATGCGTATCTGTACATATTTAGAAAGCAGCGCTCGTCTGGTTTAAAGAACTGAGTTGTTTGAGTTGAACAGAATTGTGCTGAATTGTGTTTCCACTGATTTAGCAGACATTTTAGTGACTGTTACAACTCGGCCCCCAGTCTGTTACGGGTAACCCTGACTACAATGGACGTACTAACACTGACACAGCTGTCTGCTTTCAACTGAATTGAACTGAAAACAAAGCTGTCTTTATTTGTAGCAGTGATGTGTACACTGACTGCTTATAACACTGCATTATAAACAATGTTCATTACAAAAATAATATGAATTTTGTTAAACAATATGTAATAATATATAATCTTGCTCGTGTTTTTAAAGTGATTTATTGAAGAACAAGGCTACGTTCTCTCTGTCCTGTCTCTGTTTTGCACATAGAAAAGTTTTCTGCCATGTTTATACTGTATAAAACTGTGCATGATAAAAGTGTCCCTGGGGTGGCCCAATATTTTTGTTATGATTTATGTACAAAATAAAGCCTTTCAGTTTGTACTGTTTTAAATGTGGAGTCTGCTGGTCTTTATTTCATACATTTCACTCTAAAACTGTTCACATGTGGACCTTACAGCGATACTCACCCGATAGCAGCACACAGAAAGGGAAACGTTGCCACAGTGACAGCAACATTTCAGCTGTATCGATTATTTGAGGTTAAAAGATCAGGAAGACGCTCTGTTCTCTTTATTTTTTTATTTATTTTTTTTGTTGTAGAATACTAAAAAACAGGAAAGCAAGACTTTAATTAAGAGTTCAATTCAGAGTGTCAGAAGAGGAAAAGCATTAATCTCTACTGAGCTGCGTCTCATCAGGTGAGTATATTAACTTTGTTCTTAGGACTACACCCCTGTTCTGTCCATCTGAAACCATCTAAAACTAGACTAAAACTAGACTAAAACTAGGCTGAGGAGGTGATACTGCACAGTGGACACTGATACTGATACTGATACAGTGGACTAATGCAACAGCAAATGATGGGAAGAAGAAGCGATTGATTGATCATTTTCCTGATTCGAAGCCCTGAAGCTCTGAAAACAGAGAGAACAGCGACATCTGGTGGACTGCAGACATTACAGCAGACATATTCTCCGGACGGTGGAACAAGCACGGCGCCTCTCTGATATCATTCATAACTGATTCATAATTTCTGATATGTGCACGAGAACACGGTGTGTTTATTTTCATCTTCTTGATGTTGACCTCGTAGGTTGTAAGCCAATCATATCAGACCTCATAAGTTGTAAGCCAATCATATCAGACCTCATAAGTTGTAAGCCAGTCATATCAGACCTGGGGGGTCTCTGGTGGCTGTTTCTCTGAAAACCATGGTACCTGCTGAGGCTGTGACAGGGTTCTAGCTAAAGGCTCACTAAAATAAACATTAGACCCTTAAAATCTGTGTCTCGAGCTCGGATTAAGGTCCTCCGTCTGAGATAACTCAGCTGAATTATTACTGAACATCACTAAACTGGAACAAACAGAATAAACTGTGTTTTCTCCGCGTATTAAACTCTGCGCTCTGTGCCGCTCTTCAGCTGCATCGCTGATACGCATGCGCACACGTTGCTAGGTAACAGACAAAAGCAGCCGAGCAGGAAAGGAAACGAAACTGAAAGTTGACTCTCCGTTTAAAGGGACTGATAATGAGATAATATCTGAGTAATAATGAGACTGATTTCTTTATTTTGTCACCTGTCGCGCTCGGACGACACTATAAGTCACCGTTTACTGTATTTCCTGTGTTTATAACCGTTAGTAACGGAAGGTATTACACAGTTTAGCTCGACACTCAGCTGGGTGAGACCAGCAGGGGTTCTGATGAGACCTGAGCGCGTGTTTACAGGCAGAGCTCCACATTAAACTGTAGGTGGGATATTTTCATGGACTAAATCACACGAAGAAGAGGTCAGCTTCTTGTTCAGATTTCCCGTTCCACCTTAACTGGCGCAGCAGGTCCATTCTGGTATACATAATAATGTTACTGAGAGCTGTAATTTACTGTTAATATTACATTCTTCACAAATCTGTTAACAGAACATCATATAGAATTAATCTTTGGCCATTTTCTGCTGTATTTTTAGCCATTTTCATTATTATATGTGGCTGTGTGATATTAACTCGCTATAACATCATTATTACTGTAATACGTACAGACAATGTAGTAATGCTTCAGGCTATATTTAATGTTATATTTTACACAATATAATATAATATAATATAATATAATATAATATAATATAATATGTCAGTATATATAATGGATGACAATACATGAACAAATAACTCCAAACGAATTAATTTTTTCTTCAGTATAAAATCTTAATCTGGTCTCGGTCTTGACTCAGACTCGATTACCAAGAGTCTTGGTCTTGATTCAAAATCGATGTGTTCTGGTCTCTGTTTTGACTCAGATCTAGCGGTCTGGACTACAGACTTCTGTTCACAGCAACATTACATTAATGCCAGTGTTGATCATAATGCAGCTTCACATCCCTCTCAGTTCCTCAATCTGTAGAGGTGCTGATGAATCTTCTTTAAGAGGCAGCTCTGCTTAAGGCCAGACAGGTGAACTCAGTTCAAATAAAAAAAAAACAAAACTGTTGGTCTCTCTTGTAAATCTGAATTTAATAAAAATAAAGTGTTACTAAACACAGACGAGGAGAGCGAGACCTTTATCTTTTCTCACTCCGTAGATTTTTAATATTAATTTTCTTCACTGTTTTCATTGGGGATTATTAACACTCCTCTTAATGATGTCATTGTTTTTATTTTATTTAATACGTAAAGATAAGGAAGATCGTTATGTTTGAATGTCTATTAAACCACCCTAACATCATCACTTACAGTATGACCCTGACAGATTCTACTATAGCTGCAGTTAACATGGACTACAGGCTGCAGAGGCTTCAAATCTTCAGATTCCATTAATCAAACACCGACTCTAAGTCTGATAATAATAATGTTAAAGGCTTAATGAACAATCACTGTACAGTACAAAGCAGGGTTAACAGTTTGTGGCAGGACTGACAGAGACTTTTCTACTCTGTGTAAGAGAAATGTGGGAATAGGTGTGGAAATGTGGGAATGGAATTCACTGGAAAGGCAGGAATGCTGTTCTCGTGAATGTCCACTAGATGGCAGTATAACGCTATAAATGACAGGCATGACGGTCCAACGCAGGGGTCACCAGTCTTCTCCTCAAAGGGCCGGTGTAGCTGCAGGTGTTCATTCCAAACAGGCTGGAGTTCACCTGATTGTACTTGTTTAATCAGCTGGTTGAGGTATTAACAGTTTACAGGGCTCATAAATAATAATAATAATGTAAGTGAATCAAATTAGAATTATGGATTTGCACATGCAGCCACACGGCTGATCACTGGATATAGTTTACTACAAACACTCACTATAAACTGACTGTTAAATACTTTGTGTTTTGTTTCACATTTTGTTTATTATTCCTTTAGTTAATTATGTACATATGATAGACACATTGTTTAGAGATCATATCATAT